CCCCGAGGGTGGGAGCGTGCGGGCAGGAGGACCCCGAGGGTGGGAGCGTGAGGGTAGGAGGACCCCGAGGGTGGGAGCGGTGGGGGTAGGAGCGCCACCCTCCTCCTTCTCCTCCATGAACACTCCACAGAGGAAGTGCTCACACAGCAACTTCTCTGGGAGGGACGCTCAGCCTAGCGGTGACCCACGTTCACTGGCACGAAACCCCGGGGATTCACGTAGGCGCAAAGCCCAGGCTCCAACAGCGTGTGCACAAGCTGTACATAGAGCTCAACAGGTATGCTGATTTCAACTTGCTGTCTTTGATTATGCTCAATGAAAAATGCCAAAATGTCCTTTAAGTCCATTCCCAACTGACACAACAGAAAATTCCCGATGTACTACTTTCACAAATCTTACTGCTTACCAAGAACATTAAAATCTAAGTTTCACTGATGTGAGCCTTCTCCCTTTTCTTTTCTCTAACCTAATACAGTACAAGTGTGGGATTTGGAGCTAAAGAAAAACCTGATTTAAGCGCAGTTTACATCCTTGCTCGAAAGAAAATGTGTATATGTAACTTTCTTCAATCTTCACATTTTCATTTATAAAGAGGATTTGTAATACTCAATTTAAAAAGTAATTCTCAATTTGAGAATTAAGAGGCAATAGACTGAAAATAGGATGTTACCATGAAAGGGTTTTTTTTTCCCTGTGTTCCTTGACATCACTCTATGACATTAAAATACCTGAAGAAAATTAAATCAGTTCATACAGGAAATACAATATCAATGCGGGCCAGGGAAATAGCTCAGTGGAATAAGCGCTTGCCTGGCAAGCATAAGGTCTTTCAATACCTCATACCACCAAAAAAAAGTTAAAAATCAATGAAAATAAAATGTATCTTTGGATCACATGTAATTTCCATAATACCATTTAAATTAAAGGCTTCAGATACAGATTACAATACTAATGTACAAGTTAGAAAAACTCTATTCTTAGGGCCCTTAAATTAACTAATTCCATTCAGTTACCCTGGAATAACTAGTTTTCCCCCAACTCTTCTCAAATCATATCACAAATCCCAAATATACCCTTAACCCCTGGAAGACAGACCAGTAAAAATTCCTATCTTGTGGTACACGTGTCATTAATATAGTGCTTGTATATGCAAACAAAGAAATATTTTCATTACACAGAATTTCCTGAAGGTGACTAGAGTATGCCTTGTCACCCCAACTTATAACCCCAGCAACTGAAATGGCTTGTTGGTCCAAGTCCCCAATGAACACAGTAATACAGACACCTGCACTTCCACACAATGGTCACTGGGACAGTTACAGCAATCAATCTATTCAGAATTAAGGGAGGTTAAAATATCCCACCACGAATGCACTGCTTGACTTACTCTGAGTTGGTTATTCACAGCAACTGCAGACCACTGAATGGCTCTGCAAAGCTGACCTCTCATAAAAACAATTGTATAGGGGCCGGCCAGATAGCTCAGTGGATCAAAAGGCCTGCTTTAGCAGACGCAGAGAATTTGATCCCCTGAGTGCCATGCTAGCCCTGCCTCTTGGGGCATGCTGAGATGTAACTGACTGGGCGTGGTAGTGAATGCCTGTAATCCCAGCGCTTGGGAGTCTGATCTGTGTCATGAGACACTATAGACCCTGTACTAAATACATTAAAAAAAAAAAAAAAATAGAGCTACAGGCACTAGTAACCAAAAAATAGAGCAGCTCCTCTCTGAGCTCTTGGAATCTGCCTAGGAAAGCATCTTTTCGGGGGGCAGAGGCTGGGGCCTGAGAACTAGCTCACACAGAGAGAGGCAACAGCTGGTTGCAACAGGGCAGCAACCCAGGAAACTCTGCATGATCAGGCAGGTTTTCATGCCAGTTTCCCTCCTGACCTGCTAAGGCTCCTAAGATTGCCTCACTTCAGGAGTCCCAAGCCTCACTCTTCTGCGCATTTGCAGGTGTTACCTAAACTTCAGACGACCAGTCTTCTCCTGGATGCTGCGTGCTAAATTTGTCAAATCTTTGGCAGGAAAACAGAAAATCTCGAAGTTTCCTTATTCCAGAAGCAGCCTATATCTAGCCCTAGCCATACAAAATGTTAAAAAGACCAGGTGTGATGGTACATGCCTGTCATCTCAGCTACTTGGGAGGCTGAGGCAGGAAAACTGTCAATTTAAGCCCAGCCTTGGCAACTGAGCATGCAAATGTGCTCTCTGGAGAAGTATGCCTGGGCTTTTCTCTAGCATAAAAAGTATACAACTGGCCTGGATTATACCTCCAGACTGTCTCAAAGCAAAAACAGAAACAGTCTCACACACTAGACGCCTTAGATATATAATAACATCCCAGTAATATCAAGTTGTCACAAAGAATTTTTTTTTCCTTTCTAAAGAGGCGAACCAGCTGCCCCAGAATATCCTGAATATTGAGGTATAATTGTACTGGCTGAAAGGTCAAAAATATCAAAGAAGAAAGCCTAACACTGGATACCATAGTGCATGCCTTTCATCCCAGCTTCATGGGAGGCTGACACAGAAGGATTCCTCCAAGTTAAAGGCAGCTTTGACAATTTAGCAAAACTGTCTCAAAATAAAAAAAGGTCTAGAGGCACGACTCTGTGGCAGAGTGCCCCTGGGCTCAATATGCAAAATGGGAGAGGGGGAGGAATGAAAAGAAGTGAATGAGAACATAAATAATGAAAGATATGGGCAAAAATAAGTTACGAACAAGAAAAGGGTATGCTGGCTAACTGAAGAAACCACATGGAAACATTAGTTCCTCAATTGTGAAACTTCTGGGGATTGCAAACATGAGGTCTATTTTTTAAAAAAATGTTCTGAACTGCTGAGAAGGCAGAAATGAAAAGAGCAGCTATTTGAGAAAACCAATTAACTTCTGACACTTGGATCTACTGTGGAATGAAAATTTATACCTATCACATCAAAAGACTTTTGTATCGATCAAAGAAAATCATATGGTATCCAGAGCCAAATAGTCAAATTTCCGATCTCTTGCCTCTGCCCACAACCAATCAATAAACAATCTAAACCATATTCCCACCTGAATATTTACTTGTTATGGTCAAGATGAGCAAGGGCAGCAGCAGTAGTAATATTATGGTAACACAACCTATGCAAAATACTTCAATGAGAAAACTGCTCACTCGTTATTACATTTTCTGAATAGATGCCCCCCACGCCTCGTGCAGTCAGAGTGGAGCTTTCTCCAAGTTGTGTGTGTGACACTGGGATTGATTCATGATGCAATGCTAGGACCAGCGGCACCAGGATCAACGTTGAGAGCGCTACCTGCCCTGAGCAGCCTGGATAAAAGGGAAAGAGCTGTGGCCGACCTTGTTGCTCTGTGGCCGTCCACCCACCGTGAATTATATCTGCCCCTCAGTGTCCCTCTGCAGTGCCACTCTGGGAACTAAATAAGGTTTTCTCCTTTAACTTTGGTTGTCAAGGTTTTGGCTCAGGAGAAAAGTAGTGAAGATACTTGCTTTGGTAGCTATTTTCTTACTGTGTTTACTTAAAACTTTTAAAAGCAACAATTAGCTCATCAGGACAACATCCATACTGCAAGCATTTATCCCAGACATCCATCTTACTTTGCAATTTTCTTTAAACTGATTGTAGTAACAAACCTTTGATGAAGGACCTGCTGGAGAACTTGAGGGTGAAGTGTCTCTTGATGTTTTCAAAGACTGGACAGATCTGTCTTTACCTATATAAGAAAATAGAAAGTGTCATTTCCTAGTTCATTTGTTTTCAATTCAGTGATTCAGTAACTAAATTCATGAGTTGTCTTATATGCTCATTTTATTACTATCTAAATCTATCTGTCTTAGAGGTGACATCAAAAATTACAAGGCACAGTCAGATGACATCATATACAGTGGCCCAGGCCACACCAAGGTCAGCTAACAACAGGAAGCCACAAAACACACTGGGAAACCCAGACATGCTTGCATGTGAATGCGCCATCTCCTGTGCTGCTAAATGAGTCCACCACCTCACGATGTGAACACATGGGTAGACATTCAGATACGGTGCTGTGTACAGAGCTCACCAAGGGACAGCTCAAGGAGAACTGTATACAGGTGATTTAGCACATGCTCCTGAAATGCTTTAAAAAAATAAAAGAACTACAATTAGTGTACTACTCCAGTACCCACCACAACCGAGTCCTCAACTACTTATTAAGTCATTTAAAATAAATGACTCAACTACTTATTAAGTCATTTAAAATAAACCACTGAGATAAAGTTATAAACTTTCATCTTAAAAGGTTACTTGCATGTTGTTGAATATATACATTTTTTATTTTGGCAGAGTCTCACTATGCAGTTCAGGCTGGCCTTGAACACAAGGTGATCCTCCTGGCTCAGCCTCCCAAGTACTGAGATTATAGGCGTGCATTACCATGCCCAGCAATTGTGTATATATACCCTATTTAACAAATGACTGTAGTTAAGTGGAATTTTTACAATTAGTAACCATGAGCTGTTACTGATAGAAAAATATCTCATTAAATAACTGCTGGAAAAAGAGAGCGCAGGAGCAAATGAACAGAAAATGGCACTAAGTTTGAAGCAATACAGAAGCTAGTGAAGATCAGGCAGTGGGTTAAGGCCAGGACAGCAGTCAAGAGCAAAAGCAGAGACAAACACCCTGAAAGGGAGGCAGAGCCAGCTATAGGCAGTTCTTCCTTATAAGCAAGGGTATAGAGACTCAAAGGCTTCCAGCTGCCCATGGCACTGTTGAGAAAGACCTCTTAGGTCCTGCAGGGCACTGTTGAGTAAGACCTCTTAGGTCCTGCAGACCTGAAGGCTTTCTCTAGACCAGTGGTTCTCAGGCAGGGAGCTTCATCCCTCCTAGCCACAAGCACTGGGCAATGTGTAAAGATAATGCAGTGGTTACAAGTAAGAGAGCCACTGGCATGGCCAAGGATGCTGTTAAACATCCTGTGAGGGGGATAGCCCCGCACCAGGAATCATCCAGCCTCACTGACGCTCAAATGAACCCTTGCTCCACGCTGTGTCAAAGACATAACCTAGAATTCTATGGTAATGCAAACCTGGTATCGCAATTGGCTTTTGCATCAGGGAATTTAAATCTTCCTGCAGACTTAAAAAGCACAAGAGGGCTGAGGAGATAGCTTGGCAGTAGAAGCACCTCCTCACAAGCACAAGAACCCAGGTTCAATTTCTGGTACCACATGCCATGTTGGCCCAGAAACCCGGGCATGAGGGCTCAGGCCTGTAAACCCAGTGCTGGGGAGGCTGAGATAGAAGGATCACTATGAGTCTGAGCTGTGTTGTGAGATCCTCTATCCAATAAACAAATAAAAGATTTTTTTAAAAAGCAGAAAAGAAATGTAATACAGACCATCACTACATCCCCACGTGGTCAAAAACAATGTAGACATTCCTTCTTACATTTCTGTTGCATATGGCAAATTCAACACTGTGCTGTGACAACTGTGATCTGTTGCACTACACCAAAAGCTCACAGATGAACAAGGCACAGTTTATTCAATTTCAAAATTGCCATAATCTCAAAGTCAATAATAGGCACTCAAAAATGAGGTAAAAAGATTTTACCCTTAGGATGCAATGATCTCTCTCTCCATTCTATTTAAATACTGTAAGTCCCAGAAAGAAGACAAAGTGCTGGACCAATCGGCACAGCAGACCATGCTAACTATACATGTAACTGCAGGTTCAATTTTAGTATGCGTCTTTTAGACACAAAGGAGGAATCCTGTCACAAGTACTGTAGCTGTCAATCTCTTCATGTTTGCAAACAGGACATCAGTCCAACAGCTATGCCATGCCAAGTTTCCCAAGTGTAATCCCAGGACCTAATTTCACGGGCTCAAAGGCTTATTTGAGCATGTATCGACCAATCTCAGCGTGCACAAGCAAAGGAATACTGAAGGGCAGGACAGGCAGTTTATTATACATTCCTTTATCCCTGGATGAATGGGAAGCCGAGGCAAGAAGCAAATGACCAGGAAAAACATCGCAGAGATGGCAGCAGAGAGGACTCAGAAAAAGGAAGCACAAATTCCTTGATGTTATCTGCTTGGCATCTATTTTTTCTAGACCTCAACCTTCTGCAGAGTGACTATTCCTGACCATGAATGGTTAGCCCAGGTAAGAAAACCCTGTAGTGCCCGGAATCCTCCTACCTGGCTTTACTGCTGCTCTGCTACCAAACTCTCCCGGCAATACACTAATGGGATAGTTAGATACTTATCCCATTTCTGTGATCTCTAACAATTCAAGCCTCCCAACCCTTAAAAAATACCCAAATCAGAGTCTAGCTCCAAACTCACCTCTCTCTGGGTTTCCTTCATTCTGCCGTTTGTAGGAGGCACAGGCACGCGCGGGCTCTAGGGAGAGGTGGGCAGGGAGGAATTAGCAGCAGGACCTCTGTGCCCAGCACGAGGGGGGCAAACGCCCTCACCCGCAGCAGTGAGGACAAACTTCTGAGCCTTTGCTGGGGACCTGAAGTTGCTGCTGCTCTCTACCTCCCAGCCCTGGGGGCTTACTCCTAACCTGGTGGCTTTCCTAAGACCCTTGCTGCTTCTGCTGGCCTCTCTACAGCTCTGCCACAAGAGGGACGCAGGTGCTGGAAACCAAGCTGCTCTTCTTCTCAGGGTGACAAGAGCATGGAAAACATGCGCACCCAGAGCAGTGCAGGGTAGGAGCTCCAATAAACCTCACCGGTTGATGCAAGCAGAACCAGACTTCAGTGTCCCTCCATCTCGTGCTGATGGGTGCTGGGATCAGCTCCCGAAGGCCCCTCACTTGCCACCCCTATACGCAGCATCTACAGTGTGAACATTTTCTTAATTTGCCCTTTCCCTCTCTCTTCCTGGTATTCTGAAGAAATACAGGCTGAGGTCTGACTTGGCCTTTATATGGACTGCTCTCCATTCTGGGTCTCCGACTCTAATCAACTCATTCCAATCATCTCCCGTGGTCCAGGTGACACTGCACTACCTGAGCAAACACTACTGAGGATTGGTTCCAACACAGCAGGAGAAATTTCTGCTTAAGGTATGGACGAACAAACAGAATGCCAAAGGACGCTTCTTTGGCATACTGAGATGACTACGCACAGAAACAACAGACAGAAGAGTTCTAAAAAACTACTTTTGTAAAAAGAATTTACATTTATCTACATTAATAAAAAGCAGGCGCAAAAAGAGGCTTTCTGTGAGGTCTCCTAGTGTGCTAGGAGATGGAGCCAGGAAGGACCATATCACAAGAAAAGCAACCAGAGATTCCGCTCACAGCCAGACAGAGAATGTTTCATCTTGTCAGGCACTCTTCTGAGAGCACCTCAGGTGACTGGAGCTTTTCACCTGCATAACGAGAAAAGCACGTGTTTGCGTAGGCACCGGCTTGAGTGCCTCCCACAGATGACGGGCACCTTGGCATCGGAAGCCCAGCTTCCACTCCAGGGCTACTAAAATTCAAGCATCTGGCTCCTCAGTCTCTCTAAGTACCTAGTCTATAACCTCCATGAGGTCCACACTCGGAGGAGTGTGTGCCACACAGGGTGCAGGGTCACAAGGATAACAAGTTCAGGGCCAGCCTGGGTGGCGCAGCAGGAACTGGTCTGAAAAACTAAAAATAGAAACAGAAGGATGAAGAGGGAGGGGAAAAGAGATGAATCTCACTGGGAATCAAAAGGATCTTTGGGAACATTTTCAAATACAAATTTTGATTGTTCTCAATAAACTGCCTAGGACCCTGGGCTTGAGGCTGTGTATCTATGAATCCAGCACTCAGGAGGATCTCAGTCCTGCTTGGGGAATTTATTGAGGCCCTGTCGCCAAAGTTCAAAAAATCAGAAAGTCTGCTTAGTGCAAAGGCCTCAGGTTCGATCCCCAGGACCAAAGGAGGTGAGGAGACTTACATATATTAGTCAGGATACCCCAATATTCTTCTAATAAAGCCAAACGTCAAAACATTGCATTCAGGTCTTTTTGTTATATAACCCAAATTGGCAATTTATTTTTTTTCCTTAAGAGAGTATATTTTCTAAATTCAGTGGGGATTGTCAAGCAATTTTCCCACAGATTCTTTTTTTTTTTTTTTTTTTTTTTTTGGTATTTTAGGGAAGGGTCTACAGAGTGTTCAGCATCTTACTCTAGATTGGACTCACTGATCCGCCTGTTCACAGCCTCCCAAGAGCAGCATCTTACACTAGATCGGACTCAGTGATCCGCCTGTTCACAGCCTCCCAAGAGCTGCGCGGGCCACCACACCCAGTCTCAAGTACCATCTGAGCACGCCCCGGGGGCGGGGCCAGCACGGAAGGCCTGGGGATCAAACCCCTGGCCCCTGCACCTGCTTGCAGTACAGAGAGATATTAAATACAATGCAAATACTGCCATTGTACTTTTGCAATAATGTCGCTGTGGATACAACATCCTTTTCTCTGGAATTGGGCAAACCTGTGTTTCTCCTGAGCAGCTGGCCTGTTCTTATGTGACATTCACTATGAACACTGCCGCTCCTTTTCTGTTTACTTTGGTCAAGCTCTCAATTCACCTACACCAGCTGTTCAGGACATCATGCCAAGCGTTTGTGTCGGACATTATTAACTTTATTCTGACATGTTTTCCTACTTTTTATTTCTTTTAACAGAAAATTCAGCCATTTATTTAACCCCATTTTATTAAGTGTTCATTCCACTAAGCTACCTCAAATTGCTTTCCAAATCAAGCCATAAGAGGATGCCAGTGGTGTTGCACAGGTGGGCCAATGGCATACTCGCAACTCCTACTGGCTGTGGGCATGGACCATGCCCATCTCCTCCTAACTCCGGGTACAGCTACACTGCAGCCTGAGATAAACCCTGATAGGATTATTCATTCCACTGAAATATCAAACGCAACATGTAGGTTTATTAACACTCCACTGGTTACATGTCTATTCATTTCTATTCCAAATTGCAGAGATGCTGAGGGTATTAACAGATTTATTACAGATTCTCATCTAAGTCTTAAGATGGAAAGACTAATTTCCTAACAGACAATACCACCCAGCAGAATGAAAGGATCTGGAAGTTATTTAAGTAATTAGCTTTGCTCCACTAAATTTTATGTTTTGCATTTTTAAAAGCATCTGTACAGTACTTAAACTCAACTAAGTTTTACTGGTCCCTTAATATTGACACTACGTCTCACTCCTGGCTTCTATCATAGCATTTCAGTGATGTATAAACACAATTTTCTTTCTTTTTTAAACCCGATTTTGTAAGTGTTCTGGCACTTGATTCTTATGCCTGTTTTGGCTTTCCATCACTGTGACAAAACCCTGAGATAAGAACCTATGAAGCCCAGAGGACTGCCATGGCTGGAAGCTCTGGCTTGTAGTGAGTTTCACAGGAACAGGAGGAGGCATATGACCTGGGGCAGTGCAGCTGAGGCAGCCCAGGGGCAGCGAGGGCTGGGGCTCTGTTATCTCCCTCGAGCGCAGCCCCTCAACAACACACCTTCTCTAACCACACCCTACGTCTCCAAGATCCCTCACTTCCCAAAAGGGCCACAGACTCAGGTCCACGCCTGCAACACATTTCAGACTCCAATGCCTTTCTATTTGTCATGTTCTCTGTCTCCAATAGCTCATTGTTCCGCAAAGGTGAACACTCCAGACCTCAAGTCTTTCAGCTATGACTTTTACATGGCACCGTTCAACACCATGAATACAAGTGTCTCTCATATGTGTCTTTTTCACTTGCCACTCTACATGCCATTAGAACGCTACTCCTCAGCTATTTCACCATTTCCTCAAATGCACCTCACACAGACCTCAGTAAGCGATCACTAACTTCCTATTTGAGACTAAGGTAAAAAGGCTCAAAACATTCCTATGTTTCCTGAGACTTGGTGAAGAAAATGAGTTCTAAGTTAGGACTGAAGGATCAAACCAGGAATGAAAAAATCTGAAGTAGCACTATGGAAATCAGAACTTATATCCACTGGCGAGTTAAATCTTTCAGTGAGTCAGACTATGTAAGAAGAAAAAGCCAAATGATATCTAAGACAGATAATTGCTGACTTATAATTACCTTCCATTTTCCAACCTTACAATAGCAGAATAAAGAGGCACATGCTGTGAAAACCCTATGTTGTGGCTGTGTCCAGTCTCCCCTCCCCCCAGAGCTTCATGCAGTCACAGGTGAGGCTTTTCAGAGAAGGCCTGATCTGGAGGTGTGATGCTAGGATTAAGAGTGTGATTCTGGGATTACAGATACGTAGTGACTAAATCAGTCCACTGACTGGGCTGGCATAGTGTGTGTGCTGATCCTGACTAGGAGGAATAGTCTTTAAAAGAGAAAGGGAAACAAGTCAAGGATGGGGGTAGAGAAAGAGGGAAAGAAAAACTAGCAAGGGAAAAGCATCAAGATAACACCTGTGTCACTGTAACTCAAGAGAGGGAGAAAGAATTAGCAGGAGGGGCACAGTGAAGATCAAGCAGACAAAGCCAATAATCCAAAATAGCTGTCCCTCCCCTCTTTGAGAGACGAGCAAGAAAGCAGAAGGGGCCTAACTCTGCAGACAGGTCCTGTGCAGGAACCCCACACATACACACACGTATTCACTGCAGGGTCATTACAACATCCAGGCTTGAGTCACTCAATTCCTTACATAACTAATGACTTCAAGAGACATCCACACAACCTCTCAGTAGCTCTAGGCCAGCCATGAATAAGGTATTCCCGTGCCAATTAGCTGCGCATCCTGAAGACAAAGCCTTCAAGAGTAGGTCAGGGACAACTAAGACCAAAAAATACGGCACACAGAACCCAAGGACAGATGACACAGAGAGAGTTCCCAAGAAGCCACGCTAGTTACAGCAAGTTCCGGGGTGTCAGGGGGCCTCTGACCCCTCTAAAAGCAGCCAAACACAATGGGAACACGGGTAATGACCTTGCCACTTCTCCCAGCTCTGGTTCCTTTTTTGAGATAGCCTCTTGCTATGTGTGTAGTCCAGGATGGCTGTCAACTCACTGTCTGTCTCAGTCTCGTGAATGCTGGAATTAAAGGTGCATGGCACACTCTGGCCCTCCTCTCTAATTCATAATTAGATAATGGACAGCTATCTCCTCTCTATTTCCATCTTTCCAGTCATGTTCTCCTTTCCTTAAACTTCGTATCTTTAATTGAATTACATTCTATAATGTTGCTCAAGAGGCTCTGTGCTCCCTGAAGAGCTTTGGATGGGAGTCTCCTGGCTGCATCTGTTGCCTTCTGCTTGGGTCCAGCACCAGCGAGCAGCTCGGTGGGATTTTAGATAGTACCTACAGTACTTCGCATGTATAATCACATCTTTGCTTGTCTCAGTTACTAACTCATAAATAAAACAGTATAGT